AGGAAAGGCGCAAAGCTACACAGAGAAACCCTGTCTCGAAAAACCAAAAAAAAAAAAAAAAACAAACAAAAAAACCAAAAAGAAATCATTCAAGTATAATCACTTTTAAACCCTAAAAGTTCAATATTTCCATTGTTTCCACCGCATTATTTTTGCCCAAACCTGACTCCTTTATAAATATCTTTGCTTAAATAAATACACAATTGCAATAAATGAGTAGAAATGTAGACACTTTAGTCAAATCATAAAACTCATATCAAGCTTGCAGCATTACAACTTTGAAGTTCACAAAGGACAACAAGATGCTTATCTGTACATTTTTAAGAGATAAAAAAACCATAACACATATACCTTGATGCCAAAATTCTTTCTCATCTCCCCTTTTTATTCCCTTCACTTTCCCTGACTTCTCCACTGACCACCATCTATTTTTTTTTTTTGGAAGATCCATAAATGACTCATCCAGTGGGGAGTGGACTCTGGATGATTGGTTACTTTAAGAGATATCGGAAATGAATTGGAAGACTAAACAACTACAAAACATCAGTCTACAGAAGTACTCTTCTTTTGACAGATGCCAGAATGACCCTTTATATCATACAGTTCTGAGATGAATCAATTCAGCATTCATACATATGGCTTGCCATGACACCTTGGCAGCCATTTTTATATGTATTCATTGGGCCTCCAAGATTGTTTTCAAATAAATAATTCAACAGATTATGATATCATTTCACCAAAGAATCACAATTAATAGCTAGAAGAATGTATCAAAACTAAATTTAATATAGCAGTGAAAAGAAAAAGTCTAGCCAAACCAGAAGCTCAGAGAACAGTGGTTCTCAACTTTTCATTAGAGTTCCTCATGTGTGTGAGCCCCAACCATAAAATTATTTCATTGCTGCTTCATAACTGTAATTTTGCTACTATTCTGAATCATAATGTAAACACATGATATGCAGGATATCTGATATGCATATGACCCCCAGGTTGAGAACCACTGCCATAGGATGTAAAGGGGAAGGAGGAAGACATGCAGAATGACAGAGAAGAAGGCAAGAAGAAAGAAAGGATAGAAATGTGGCTAGGTGGTTGGATTTCAACCAGATAAGCTTGAAAGCCTAAAGTCAAACATCAACTGTGATCTGTAAGATTAAGGCGCTGGAATCAAATTATGCATTGATTTGAATCATGTAACTAGTACTCTCAGCCAGGAGATGTTCTAGCTTTGGGGGCTGTGCCACCAAACAAAACAGAAATCTGAGACTCTTAAAGACTGTAATCCACTAAGGAAAGGTACAACAATCAATGAAATCAATCAGTTAATTACATCGTTATAGAATAATTTAGATTCAAGGTAGGAGGATTGTGCCAGAGCAGATTCTTCCATCATGTTGTCCAATTAAGCTGAGGTATGGCCTTAAAATGAAGATTACTTAAATATCAACAATCCAACAGAAACTAGATAAAGCAAAGCTGTGAACAGAAGCTATTTCATAGCAAGTCACAAAAAGAATCGTATAGGCACTATGCAAAAAGAACTGCTCACTTTTTTTTATCTAATTTAAATAAAATATTTGCTGTGCCTATAATGCCAGGGAAGTACTGGTAACTGGATTATCCCTGTGTTTCTTTACCAACACTACTACTAAGACCATAAAGATATAAGAATTCCACTTGGGAGCCAGGTCAAAGTCCTTTAGAAACAGCTCTCTCTCTTCATCATCCACGTGACTGGTGCTATTATCCCTGTTTTACAGGTGGGGACATTAAAGTCCAAAGACTGTTTATGACTGAGCAAGTGAGTCAGTGCTGGGAATTATAGAACACACATGCTAGGCAGCGTGCGGCATGACTTCAGCTTCTGTGGGTTTGGCCATGGAAGAAGTTAAAATCTCTCAGGGATTTTGTGAACTTGGCTTTCTTTATGATTATCCCTCTTCCTGTCTATCTTTTCCCCCAAGACCTGATTACTGAGTGAATTCCTGTGAGAGCCCAGCGTGAGTACAGAGGCTGTGGAAACACCCCATGGTATGTATAATGTTCCAGGCTACAACTTCCTCTTAAAGGGATCCAGGAAAAGGCCACGTGTTGCCAAGGGGTGAGTGCTATTTTTTGCCTCCTAAGGTCTTTACAGTAAGTCTCTGATGTCGTTTCACTTCCCAGTTCCAAGTGGCTGTGCTAATCTCTGATTGGGTTCAGCCAATGAACTCCCTGACTCTGCTTGGCAAGTGCCAGAGACATTGGTAACCCCACAAACGAGACAAGGATGGGTCTTTTAACTTTGGAATTCTAGATAAAATTGGGAAATTTTAATCAAAGAAGGACAAAGTTCTTTGGGTCATCCTGTGACAAACTTTGGAAGTTGGGGTCAAGAGAATGCAGCCAAGTGTTTACTTTATATCGTTTAACCATTTTTGAAATTTTTCCAAGTTCCTTCAGACTAAAAGTAAGCAGGATATTGTGTTAATCGACTCTTAAATATTAATGTGGCCCTGCCAAACTGGTTTCCTTGAAACCTTCATTTATGTTACCCAGCTAGTTTATCGTGTAAAAGGTAAAGATAAATGTGCAGAGCTGTTAACTCACTTTGCCTCTTGGACTATTAAGTCAATACATTTTACACACACACACACACACACACACACACACACACACACACACACACACACACACCACAGCCTAACGACCCAGTGACAAAGTCCACTAAATATTCAAATTTCCTTTGCTCTCTGACTCCTTAATTTTTCCACTAGTCACTCCACTGACGATAGCTCCCTTCTTTTGACAGGTAATTAAAACTAAAACAAACAAAAGCCAGAAACTCAAGGAAAAACAAAAACAGACAAACATAAACCTGTTTCCTCTCTCTCATCTTTGTCCCATTGTCTCTGACCTGAATCCTAAAAGCTAATCCATAGCCTCATCAGAGCAAACCAAATTCATCTGGGCTGGGACCATTGTTGTTGAGTGCTTCATTGTGCATTCTTGGCATGGGAAGACCGCCAGAGAAAGGCCACAAACACAGGCTGACCTGAGTACTGCTAGCTCATCTAGGTGGAGAAGAAAGAAATGTGCTCTGTGGTAGCCATGGAGAATATGACTGCCTCATTTCTCAGCTGGACGGCAGTGAGGTGCCCTACATCCAGGTCTTCAGGAGAGCTGTGCAAGGTCACCAGGAAGAAACCCTAGCTGGTGAGAGAGCTGGAGCTCTGTCTGTCCAGGAAACTGGTTAACAGGGTGACATCAGCAGTACTCTGGGAGCACTGAGGGCCCCCATTTGGCTCCCAGAAACACTTTCAAGGTGTTAATTCTGATTTATGATGTCGTCTGTGTTTTGGATTCAGGTTACCTTAGAAATCAGCGCTAAAGGTTAAAGCTAGAGTTCCCGAATTTACACTTCAGACACCCAGAAGCAACACCCTCCCACGAAGAGCCAAGGTGACTGGAACTGAAGGCTGCCTTAATCTGACAGAATCCTACTTTGTAAATGAAAACTTTTTCCTTCCTGGCTCCCCATACTGAACAGAAGAAAATGCAAATATGCAGGGAAATCTTGTAAAAATGTCAGAGCTTTTGCTTAAAATCCGGAGGTGCTAAGACAGTTAAAAGTCCAATTTTGAAAAGCACAGCAATGAATTCTTCTGTGTATTTGAGTAAGACTCCTGTTTATGGCCCATACTGCGTGGTTACATATATTAGCTCATACAGTCAAGCTGTTTTCATTTAACTGACATGTTCCCACAGGCTGTACAACACGTGAATAACCCAGGTGCCCATGTCTTTAAGTGCATTGTGTTTCAGACCTGCTGCTAGTCACACCAGGTATTGAAGAATGAGTTGGTTGAGTTTGTTTTTAATTCCTCTGTGGCACTGGGTTAACTAAAAGCATTCTTATGTCTCTCTCTCTGCTGTATCCCAATGACTCATTCATTACTTTGTTTGTTTGTTTTTGTCAAAACCTTCTGAGACTGTTAGTGTCTCACACTCCCTGGAATTGACAGTGTCTTCTAAGCTCAGCGTCCTTCCTTTCAGTGTTCTAGAATGTTTGGGAACAGTTCTGCGATATTCCTTCCACCTGAAAAATTGATCCCCTAATTGTTTTTCTCCTCCACCAAAAGGAAAGCAAATGCTGGGTGTTGAAGCAGGCGGCTTGGCCAAGACCACTGAACAAGGCAATTACAGAGGTCAGACCAGTAGAGGCTATATATATATATATATATATTTATATGTACCTCTCTACCAACCAATTGCCCTGCATCTTACTTGCAAAAAATGCCAACCTCAGGAGATAAACGAATTTGTCATTCCTGTTCAAACATGTAGCTGGAGCACCGGCATGAGGAGACCATATAAAAGAACCAGCCAGCAAGAGCAAAAGCCAGGTCCAGATTAAGTCCCAGTAAAGGCACATGGCTGCTTGACATCAGGGCAGTTCCTGACAGCTTCAGCCGACTCTGCCTTGCTATTAAAGACAGTGACTCTGCTGTGCTCATACACCAGGAAGAGAGGCAACTACTTGTTCCCCTTCATAAGCTCCTCGAAAGAGTCCCCAGCATGAAAAGGAAAGTTTGTCAGCAAGGCCTAACCACTTGGTTGCCCAAGTAACCGTCATCTCCCATAGAGACCTCATTGTCTTGAAGACGAAGGAAGTGGCAACAGCGATAGGACTGTAATCTCTGAGCTATCATCACTAAGAGTGTTGGTGTGTTGTGACACCAAGAGAGGATGGTGGCCGAGATACAGACACGGGGAGACTCATCTAGTGAGTGCTGTGCTAGACACCCCCTTTGTCTTTCTGTGAAATGACTCACACTTTTAACATTGGGTATGTGTTTGGAGGGAGGCGATGGGGATCTGGGCAAAGAAGGAGAAAAAAAAGAAGAAACTTAAGTAAGTAGGGCCAAGGATGCTTTATTCCATTGACTTACAGTATATGAATAGTCTTGATCTATTATAGGGCTGTGATTCTGTTACACAGACGTACACACACCACCGACACTACCACACACATGAGTAATTTATCCTATGCGGTGTCAAGACAGCTGGTGAAGCTTCCCAGCTGGCCCCTCTGGGGCTCATACAGTGGAGCATACAGAGGATGCTCAGCAACCCGCACTGAAAGCTGGTCACTAGAATGTGAAAAAATAAAGCTAGTATAAAATGAAACACAGTTGTACATAAACCAGTCTGACTGCCAAGTGTGGCCCAAACAGCTTTTTGTTTGCTCACGTTAAGCTCTGAAGCATGTAAGTGTTGGCTTTTATGAACAAGTCCTCAATTTTGAGAAAATCCTTTATCCATTCATTATGCTACTTAAAATATTAACACCCAGATATCATTCCAGAAAATTCTTTGACTCTTTTCTAACCTGTAGAGTAAGAGGTCAACTATCCCACTCTGATGGGACCCCGATGAAGCTAACCAGAAAGATTAGAAAAATCCATGACCAGGGATATTAAAAGTAACTAACTCTTTCCCCACAAACTAGAGACTAGCTTTACAAACTTAAAATTAAGTTTTCAAGTAATCCTATAATCAGTCACCAAAAAATAGAGGAGAAAAGATAGTGGGAAAAATCAAATTTTAAACAGTTGATTCTGTAGAAACTTTTTCTTAAAAAATATTGCACAGTAAAGGGGTTTAGAAGTCTGAGTGGAGAGGATAAGTGTGAAACATGGGTGGATTATTTGAGCAAAGCAGTTTAATGCTGTTCACTTTTGTTCAGAAGGTGAGTGGAAATAGCTTCCTTTACACTTCAGTGGTATTCATAGATAGGCATAGTAGCTACTTTATAAAACATTATTTGGCAATATCCTTCATGATTGTGATACAAGGTAACTATCTTAAACCCCATATAGTCTTTGTTGACTTAAAGTCATTTTTTCATTTCCAGAGAAATTTCATCAAAAATACAATAGCTTTCTTTGTATACTGTCTAGGAGAAATGAGTGAAGGCCAGGGAATTTTTGTTTATCCCAAAGAACGTATTTTTCTTTTCCAGAAGTGATTTAAAGTTTCAGGAAGTAGACGGACACCCCAAAGTCTTGAGCTTGTCAACACAATTAAACATAAATACTGGGGCATTGTCAATAAGCACCACAAAGAGGAACAGGGAAAAAAGCATTTCTTGACATGTTTTACCTCATTTATTAACTTTATTAAATGCAATTCAAAAAAGATTTTGAAGAAACTGTAGACTGATAATATTATGTAATTCTAATTAAGTGTGGTCAGGGTTTAAAGTTATCTCTAACTTACCTTATTCACAGGATGTTATCTCCAACTTTCATACCATTTGACCTTTGTGCACATAGTTTCCCAGCTAGCCAGACATGAGCTCATAAATCAAAAAGCGTCACGAGACAAAGGATAGAGCATTTGGACGTTTTTTGTTCTTTACTGGGCTGGGCTTGAATCCAGGACCTTGCACATGACAAGCAACCATCCTATCACTAAGTAATATCCCCAGGCTGAGCATTTACTTCTGATCAAGCAGTTGGAGGCCAGTTACTGATTTTTTCCATATGCTGTTACCCTGCAGGTCAACTTGCTAATTCTTCTCTCGGTGTCTACACTTGATGATGTTGAACTAAGAACCCCCTGATTTAGTAACGTACTCCCTATCACGCTTGAGCTTTGGGAGCAGGCAAACCTGAATCTAAACCCCAGTTCCACTGTGTGCCAAGCAAGTACACCAAAGTCACTTGCTCAAACACTTAAGACTCAGTGTTCTTGTTTAAGAAGTTTGTTGTCACATGGAGCACTCCCAAGCAAGCTATCACAGACTTCCAGGAAGGCTTCAGTGAGTTAATCATCTCCACAGAGCTAGGCACAGGGTCTGACACACAAGACCTCCCAGTAAAATCAACATTGTTAGTGAAACACTGTGCAGAAGGTCTCCTGCCGAGGTGTTCACTGCTTCCAAAGATGGACTCTGTCTCATGCCCACACTTTCGCAGAAGATGCCACATATCCCAACAGCATGACTACACCAAGTCTCTCCAATATCCTTCCTGAGAAAGCCTGCCTGGAGAATTTTTCAAACTCACTTCTTATCAGATAATTCATTGACTCTATGATAATTGATTATCCTTTATCT